GCAGCACAATTATAACAAACCACGCAAATGAGCGTTTCATTCCTGAGTAATATTCTGGAACTAACAATCTGATCAATTGTACATACGAACAACCGCTAGAGATGGCTTTAAAATGCGAATAATCCATCTATCAGCTATGTGAATAAAATTATATTCCTGCATTTAGGACGAGCGCATCAAAGTTTTTCTTGATTCGTCACGAATCGCGGATTCCATGCAATCGCAGCCGTTTGCTGACCTCACAAGCACGTCCCAAGAACGAGCAGCTCTAGCGCTGGACTTCTGTTGCCATTCTGCGCCCGATGCTCCCGAGAGTGTACGCCACAGCAATGATTGTGCAAAATACATTATGCTCTATGTGCGTTATCAGACAATATCGCTTTCGTTCATTACGCTAGAGGATATAATTAACATAGTCCTTGTATAGGCATGCCCGATAACCCAACCCGACAAAGAAAGAGTCGAAACTTTTACGGCTGCGGTCTTACGACAGGCAAATGTGGGAGCTTGCAACGTGGGCGAGCTCCGTTTGTACGCGACGAAAATTAAATGTGAGAGAACAGGTTCCCAGCATCTTGGATGTTCGTTAGTCATAGCCACGCGGTGTCAATGAACGTGTCTTACATAGGGCCTTACTTGGGCATACAACAATTACTTTAAAGTGTTGATATAATTAGTTAACATAATATTTGTTGGTTATTTTTAGCGCATTTTCTCGTTTATGGAAAAAAGGCGTTATTTTGATCGTCATGTCCGTCTGTCTGTCCGTCCGTCTGTCCATGACTTCACGTTTTCGTCAACGAGAAAATGCGCTTTCTGTCACTTATTGCAGTGAGTACTGAGTTATATTTTTTGTTTGTTTCAACTTGAAGTGTCGAAATATCCTCGGTCAGCAGTGAAGTCTTACTGTATGCCGTTAATTATGAAATTAGTGAGTTCCTTAATTTAAGTTTCTCTCCTGGAGACTATGCATTATTTACGAGCAATGTTCGTTTACCCTCATGTGCTGTGTTGGTGAAGACCAACGCAGCACCTTGGCCCTGACTGCTAAGCAGCTAAACCAGACTGCAATTGATAATTTTTCGACAAAATTACGATTCCTTATGATTTCTGTATCAACTTTTCTGTGTCTTTAAACGGCACTTCTATCTTTTCGCTGCTCGTCATTCACATTTCGATGTACTCTTCTGTCACTGCTAAGTTGCCTTTGTTTTTATCACTTGAGCCAACCTTCATATTTTATTCGCTGGCCTCTTTGTCTACCCATTCGCGCCTCTTGAGTCACCCCTCGCATCCCTCCAGCGCCCCCTCGTACCACATCCCCCCCATGCAGTCATGCCATTGTCAGCACAGAACAAACACTCACAACGTGCGGGCTGATGACTTCTTTGTTGTTCTGGGGCCATACTTTCAAAACTCGCTAAGTGAACGTAAGTACTTACGCTCTATTTTCTTGTCTGTGATTGGTGGATTTTGCTTGAAAGGCCGTCAATGAACGTAAGTACTTACGCTCTATTTTCTTGTCTGTGATTGGTGGATTTTGCTTGAAAGGCCGTCAATGATTGGCTGATGAACTTACGATCTCTTAACTTTTTTTGAAAGTATAGGCCCTGGAGCACTTCACGCGTGCTGCCTTGTGCCTTTGAATCGCGCTATATTTGATTGCGACACTCATGTGCTTCATGGCTTCATTCTAATACTTTGATGCAGCACTCACAGACATTAATGGCTCATATTGTCCGAATAATGACGCACTTTCTGCACATAGCACTGAGACGCCCTTAAGCCAGGATAAATTAGGTCAGAATTATCCACACCGTGGCACAAATGCATCGCAATTTGGACAATGTGCCACTAATATCTCTGAGTGCATCGTTGTGGTTGAGTTGTGTATAAATATACTTTATTTTTTTTATCGCATCGGGACCTGTTTAAATGTTACTAGCTATGGTCGTTTTATGGTTCTTGTCAAGCGTTCTTATTTCACTGTGTTAACTTGCGTTCATTGTGTTATCTTGAGACCATGTTTTGCTATGCTTTGGCTGTTGAGATTTGATTTTTTAAAAGTTTCTAATTAGCAATACATGAAGGAAACTTCCCAATATCGAAATTAAAACATCTGCCATGCCTGCATGCAAGTATCCATGTATATCCATTTACGGAAAAATGACAGGCATATATAAAGTTACACAAATTTCATTCCGATAGAGAACCAGACCTCGGGAGGTCGCTTTGGCCTTCAAAAATACCGGTAAATAAGATCTAGATGGCAACCATCGGACGTTAAATTCCTGCACTTTCATTTAAAGTTGCCCATCTGTCGCTAACCCAAGTTGCTTCAGGGTTTTGACGCGTCCATACACTCAACACCTTGTATTAAATATCAGTTCCAGCAAAAGTTGTTCAAATCTAATTTGTGTGGCCTTGTATTTTATGGATTCATAACTGTTCATGCTCAGTAAATACGATTTGAATGGTATAGGGAAGTTCCCACACATCCAGAAGCAGTAGTTTAAACGGAAACTTTCAAGGTTTCTCAAATTGTGTGAAAAATACAAACTTCTACTATGACAGAATTTACGTAATTTCAAAACAGCTACTTCAGCTTATACACAGACAGGGAATTTTTCTTTATAGTAAAGGATTTGCTTTAAAAAAATCGTCTGTAGTTCATTTTAAAATGTAGTACCTGTTTCTGAGGGCTTCCCCAAAAAATAACGACAAATCAAAATTGAACGTTTTGATTTGACGCAATTCTAGAAGTTTCTGATAAAAGTTAAAAACCATAACGTAAAGATGATAAAGTTGGAAGAGTGGAAATAAAAATTGCGCCTTCTTAGCTAGAATTCTAGCAATGTGAAGGTCAAAATGCAAAGGAGAACGGGGTTTCCTTTGTAATCTGCAAAACAACGGTCATATTCTCCATCGTTGTGAGTCTGTTGTAAACTCCCTGATTAAAAGGTTCTGCAGATGGATTGAAATATAATTACTTCAATTGTCATGACAAAGTGAAGCATCATCCAGCTTGAACTATTGCCCCTCTGCCATTGGACGGCAATCATTATTTTTACACCGTATCCAGACAATAACTTAGTGAGCAAGCATGGAAACTCAAGCTGCACCTCACTGGTGGGAAACGCCCTATATTTTAGGAAGCCTCTGCTGTAATGACTGAGCATTTCGTGTTAATTCAGTGGGCGTTTTGTTGTCTCGAAATCATCATCTTGGCATGCTCTATTTGCAGGCATCTCGTCTTCATTCTCTTGTCGCAGTTCGTGTTGCAACTCTCTCCTATGGGTCATATGTATAGTGGAGTCTCATGTTTAATTTCGAACTGCAAATTCTCTCATGTTTTTGGACTGCATTTTTGTCTTCAGAATCGTACTGTTGTGTGGTGCTACAACTTTTCCATCGTTTTTTTTTTTTAATGCAGCCTACCCCTCAGTCTACCACGGCTGTCTCTCCCTCATCTACCACTGCTGTCTCGATCTCCCTCAGTCTACCACTGCTGTCTCTCCTTCGTCTACCACTGCGGTCTCTCCCTTAACCTACCACTGCTGTCTCTCCCTCAGCCTACCACTGCTGTTTCCCTCAGTCTACCACTGCTGTCTCTCCCTCGTCTACCACTACGGTCTCTCTCTCGTCTACCACTGCTGTCTCTCCCTCGTCTACCACTGCTGTCTCTCCCTCGTCTACCACTACGGTCTCTCTCTCGTCTACCACTGCGGTCTCTCCCTCAGTCTACCACCGCTGTCTCTCCCTCGTCTACCACTGCTGTCTCTCCCTCGTCTACCACTGCGGTCTCTCCCTCAGTCTACCACTGCGGTCTCTCCCTCAGTCTACCACTGCGGTCTCTCCCTCGATTACCACTGCGGTCTCTCCCTCGATTACCACTGCGGTCTCTCCCTCAGCCTACCACTGCGGTCTCTCCCTCGTCTACCACTGCGGTCTCACCCTCGTCTACCACTGCAGTCTCTCCCTCAGTCTACCACTGCGGTCTCACCCTCGTCTACCACTGCAGTCTCTCCCTCAGTCTACCACTGCGGTCTCTCCCTCAGTCTACCACTGCGGTCTCTCCCTCGGTCTCGCATTGTTCTGTGGGGCTGAAGCTGCTCCCTTGTTCACGTGCTGCAGTCTCTCCCGCGGTCTCGTGATCTCGCTCACCTTGAGTCTCTGGGTCTCGCTTCTTGGCATTTTAGAGCAGCTCTCAGTTTCCCGACTTGGGCAACTTCTCCGCCCTGCTGTAGCTGCAGTCCTGGTGTCTCCATTGTTAACAACTTGCACCGCCGTTAACGTGACATCGCCTAGCATTTGCGCTCAATTTCGTTGCCAATTTCAGCGATCGATTAATATTGTTTAATCGATCTGGAAAAATGATTAATTTAATAATCATTTTTGAGCGTTTTTAGATTTCATCATAAAATTTCAGGCTTGTTTTAGGCTAAACTCTTAATTTGCGTCAATGGAGAGCTTGCGTCAATTATACAATAATTTTATAGTGTATAGTTCGTACGTCTCCAGCTTGAAGGGAAGCACGACCCAAATTTTTGGGTTATAGTTGAGCTTGCTTCTATGGTGTCGTGGCTCTCGCGTGTTTCGTTTTTTCCTTCAAGTGATATTTTTTAGGCGTAGATGCTTTTAATAATATATTTTGAAAATTATGCCTAATCACTAGCTTAATTTATGCAAAGAATCGACTTTGACCATTGTACGAGTACGTTGAATGTTTTTGAACTGTTCGACGGTTAGAACGATCGCGTCTTTGTTTTGAGATTCCCCTGGATAAGCTGTTAACGGATTTTTTGCACTGTTTTTCATCGATTCAGTTTGTCGGGCCCTGATGAAGAATAAATTGTGTTTAAAATGTTGGTCCTCTTAATGTTTCATGCTTTTTCTCATATGCAACCACGTTTTACATTTGTACCTAACAATCTTTTTGGTAATAAGAAACGAGTTGCATTCACGCAAAACCTCTACTGACACATTATTTTTGTTTTCAGGTACGGCATTTGCCAGAGCAAATTTCGACCAATTCTCACATGAGCTGCTGACAACCTCACCTCCACAACCTTCGCACCTTCACTGGGAACTGCCGTGTAGTTCGTAGTGATCATGACCACAGCAGCGCGATATGAAACATACGATGCGTATGGAGGTTTGAGTTCGCCGACTCACTCGCATTTCAGAGTAAGAGTATCCACAGTAAGGAATAACTAGATAAATTCAAATTTGAAATTTATTCAATCTATTCACGGCTTGGAAAAATTGTACGTTAAATTTTCGTTTTTTTTTTTTATTTTATTTTATGGTATCGCTGAAAATAGAAATAAACTGCAATTTAATTACTGCCCTGTATATACATGTTTAGGTTTACAAATGCTTTGAATTATGTTTTCAACTACAAGTCGCAGCTTTATACTGGTTTAGAAGTTTGTCTCATGACTGCGGATTATTGCATCAAAGCAACAATTTATAACTTTGCTTGCAGTTGAACTTCTGTATCATTCGCAGGATTATGGCACAACAAATGCAGCAAAAGTCAAACGTTCTTGGGGCGATTTGTTGAAGCTCGGAGGAAAGAACAAGAAAGATGGAGGAGGCTCAGTGTCGCCTGCTTCATCACAGTACCCTGCCTCTAGTGCTATACTGCTGCAACAACAGCAGCAACTACAGCAACAACAACAACAGCTTCAACAACTCCAGCAACAACAGCAACATTTACAGAAACTGCAACAGCACTACCAGCAGATGCAACAAGTTAATTTCGGTAGGGATTACTATAATAAATATGGTCCGTCTGGCGTATATTCGCAGCCGGTTTTGACTCCTGCTAACGGAAATATAAACAGTGTTGCAAACGGAACAGTTTCGGCTAAACCAGAAGCACTCAACTCAAATAAAGGCGACAACACCATACGCTACACTGATTGGTTTGGATCAGTGGCAACCAGACGACCAAATCTTAGACCTGGCATCCCTTCATTCACTCAACCATCGCAGCTACTGCCACAAACGTACCTGCATCCAGCACAAGATGGAGGTCGACTGTCGTGGGACGTTCAACCTCAACAATATTTAATTGCAGTTCCACCTGGAGTTTGCGTTTGTCCTACCACGGACACCGGGACTACGAGAGCCAAAAAGAAGAAGAAATGCAAAACATGCGGTCAGAAAACCATCAACATCAGACACACTTTGACGTCCCATCCGTCGTACAGACCAGCTCTTTCCGCTGCGCTCCTGGCGGCGCCCTTGCAGCCTCAGCCACAGAGACCAGCGTCTCTCGTTTCCTCGACAGTGCCCAACATGCCAGCCCGACCAGCTTCTTGGGGAGATTGGGGACGATCTCCTTACGCAGTTCCCACCATCACTTCTCCTACTTCAGCCCCATCTCCGCCTACCCTCAATGCCCCGACAGTGCCTCCTTCTTTCCCACGTTCGTCATCATCAGACGACGAGTCATCTCCTCCCACCCCCGAAACCATCAGGAGTGCGCGTAGTAGTGACAGCACCGTAACGCTGACGCGGGAGCTTCCTGATTATCTTACTCCCAGAAATCAAAATGATGCAGTCAAGGTCGTCACAAACCAGCGCAAAAGCATCATTTCTAACAACGCTGCTCCTTCTGCATACAAATTATTAGGACTCACCGGCGAGAATGCCTTCAGTTCAGACACAGACGATCTCAGTGACAACGCAATTAATGACCCTAGCAGCGATATTAGTAGCTCATCTCCAGAGCGCTCGTTCGGCAATAAATCTGCTGCTTTTAAGCGTTTTCAAGCTTCCCGCTCAAGGGGAAGAAGGGTAAGCATCATCAGTATTGGAGAGGAAACGGATGAATCCTCGAATGTGATTACAATATCTACTAAATCTAGCCCTCGTAATCCATTCACTTTCAATAGCCGAGAAATAAGTCCACTGCCACCTTCCGGAGAACGGAAGAACGGAGACCAGAAAATTCAAGTGAGTATCAATGGTCCGTCAAATGGTTTTCATGACTCTGCCGAGAAGAACGGACAAGCTGCTACGAAACGCAATGATTCTGACTACTTAAACGCAACCAAACAACAGGCCTCAGATAGAACTCACAACTTTGATCCACAAGAATCAGGTTCTAATCCAATTATCACAAACGGGATCGGAAGCACAGAGAAACGTCGCATAGCTAGCGCACACCGTAAGCGAACTTTGACGAGGAACCCCTTGTTGGGAAAGGGAAATTCCGTTAGAATATCAGGTCAGAAGTTAGTTCTCACAACAGGAGGGCCTCCTTCTGATAAATTTGTCGAGTCGTCTGATGAGGAGGACGATGAATCAACTTTGCAATTCAGAGACAATTTGTCGAAGGCCCAAATTGACCCGTCAAGTCAAAAAGAAAACGATAGCCCTATGTTTGGTAATGAACCTGAACCTACCCTCAGCTCTCAAGACCCTGGCTACAAAGATACCGACAGCGACAAGATCGCCAATGAAAACGAAAGTGATGACAGTGATGACAATGACGAAAGTAAGCAAAATTTGGCAAACTCCAAAGACTTTTTCGGTCGGGGGGTTTCAGTATCTCTCGAAAACGATGTTTCTCGGGAAGCTTTGTATGTTCGGAGAAACGTTTTACTTACAACACCTGGCACCATTTATGAAGAAGATGAGAACGGTAATCACGAGACTTCAGAATCAGAGAAACTTTTGATCAATCTTGAATCTGATGAGGAAGAAAATGAAAAAGCGATGAAAAATTTTCCAGTCATTACCATTAATGGCTGTGAAGAAAATAACGCCTCGAAATCCACTGACTTACAATCTTCATCACCAGATGAAAATGCTGGTTTCATGCCTTCGTTGTCTGAATTGCTTCATGTTAAATCCATTCTGAAAAGGCCTAACTTACTTGACACGAGTTCTGAAACAGATTCTGACTTGGGCGTTGTGATGCAACCAGAAGTGAAGGTGCAATATGTACAGGGGGGTAAGAAAAAGTCTGTTCAGTTCAGCGGATCGGACAACGTGACTTTAGTTGAAACTACATCCCAAGGAAGAAGAAGAAAAATATCATCTCCAAGGACTAATAAGCGTAATAAAAACAACGCTCGAGAGAGCAACTCTGAAGTTTCAACTTCTTTGTTCGAAGAACTTTCTGATGTGTACTCGCGAGTTGCTGCGTCTGAGGAAGACAAGAAATCTGAGATCAGGTTACCAGAAACTTCCTTCGATACAAAGTCATGTAATATCGAGCTTGGTAATACAAGTAGTAGTCCTAGTTCTCCGCGAGTTGTTCATCAGCTAGAAACGAGTGGGAAAAAAGGCGAAGCCCAGCAGCATGTGGATAACTCAACTTTAAGGCTTGATAACCAGAAAAAAAGTGATAACAAGCCTCGTCTTTCACCCAGCGCCATTCCAGTGGCCGATATGTCGGTTAGGAGCGGCTATGGGTCAACCAAAGATATTTTCAGCTTAAGTTTAAACGCTGCAAGACTATCAGCCTCAAGATCCTCTGAGAATTTGTTGAGTGGAGAAAGCGATATTTCTACCTCTTCTGTGTACGTTGGAGGCTATAAACCCGTCAGTCTCAGCAACTCTCGTCGAGATGAACCAAAAGTGGACTATCTATCGAAATCTGGTCCGAAATATTCGGAATCGCTTAAAAAGAAGCTTTCTCCTAGCCAAAACTATCCTCCAAATTCAATGAACTCGCGCTATGGATCTAATTGGCAGGCAATGATGGAAAACGTCAGTAAAGACAGCCAAGTTTTGTCACGTCAATACAAAGACCGGAAGCTTGGAGGCAAGACGTCCAAACTTCCGTCGCCCATCAGACTCGATCACAACACTGTTCTGAAGTCGGCCTTGTGGCCCCCTGTCTCCACTAGCGGTGAGTGTTTTACTTTAACAGTAAATTATGTATGGCATGAATCCTAAATTTCGCAACTGTGGGGCTGGCTGACATTTAGCGTTTTCTGTTAGGAATTCTTTGAGGCATTTAACAACTGGTAGTACTTAGTTATTATTTGTGTTCGTTCTTTTCTGTTGATGTAAGAACTTGAAAATGATGAGTTTTGTTCATAAGTGGGTTTGATTGTCATTTCATTAAGCGTAGTAATTGCAACGCTTATAATTGTACCCTTAAGTACTCAAATCGTGATTCTAATTAAGCGTTCATTTGCATGCAATATTATTGTGCATATTACTACACCAATGAGAGCAGAATGATTACATTTTCGTTGGTTTAGCGGTTCTTCCTTTCCTTTACTGATGTCATCGATTTACTGAAACGCAAATCAGTTAACCACTTCCTTTAATTCCTCCTACCGTTCGTATTCCAGGCGATCCACCCCATTCCGAACCTTCCCTCCCCAACGGCATCTCCACAGAGAGAGCTGGATCGAGTGAAGGTAGATCCAATTCAAATATTAATGATCAGCGATCTACGGAAAGTATGATTACGAAAAATTCCTTAAACTCCAATGAGCGTAACAAGCGAAAAGGAGACAAAGCCTTCTCTCCCAGGGCGAAAATGTTAATTTCTCCAGTCAGCAGTCCTGCGTTACATGCAGAAGTTAGAAATGGAAATTTGCTTTTTGATGATAGATTATCGGAAAAACTGAATGACGCTCAAACAACAGAAAGTAATGAACTAAAAAGTAGGATCAACGGAAACATTCCAGCCGCCCCTCCGCTCAAGTCTGAGTCGCCTAGAAAGGAGGGAAGTGCAAACGGTGAAATCGCTTCTGCTCCACTACGCAAGCATCAGATATCCGGCAGTACTCCAAATTTATCTAAAGCTGCGCAGAATTTTTCACATAAAAGAAGTACGGTAAAAAATGAGGGAAACGTTTCAAATAAGTTTTCAAATGGCAACGAACAGAATTCCTCCAGAAACTTACTGGAGAATAAAAAGAAGATTCTTGGGAATCAGCAAGGGAGAAGTGGTTCGTCAGAGAACGATTCCTCGATTCCATTACGACCCACTAGGAAAGCTCCTGCCGTTCCTGTTGGGAAACGGAGGAGTTACAGTCCACCGAGACCCACCGTTCCCCCTCCTCCTCCTCCTCCTCCTGGTCCACCTACGGAATCTTCTAAATCCTTTGAACCAACGCCTGCTCCACCGACGGAACCCCCTCCACCACCTCCTACTCAACCACCTCCATCACCACCAACTCCTTCTCAATCTCACTTTTCTATCCCTAATAATAAATTAACGCGCTCAGGACTTGACCATCCTATCCGAATGCCTCCTAATACTGAGCCTTTCCTGAACCAGCAGAAGGAATACAGCGATAACACTGATTACAGATCGTCGGTAGAAAATAACCCAGATTATGGTTCATCAGTTTCATCTTACTCCCCGCCTACTACCCCACCTCCCCCACTACCAACTTCCCCACCTCCTCTACTTGGCAGTTCATTAAACCTAAACAGTGCCATTTCTTCTTCTCGCTGTCCTTACAATAGAGAGACCAGCAGTTTTCCCAGTAATGCTTTTAAGGGGGAAGTGTTAGCCATTCCTACAGTTTCTTTAGTGCCGTCAATAATGAACAGGTCCTTTCAATCTGCTCATAGCAGCAGTAACTCTTCAAGTCAAGAAAGTAGCCCTAGAAGTAATGTCAGTTCTTCAACAAACAGTAAGTCATTGTTTCCGACTCCTGTTCCAATTTTTGCTCCCCCTGACGAAGAAGCAAAAACTGCAACCATTCGCGGCCGAGTCAAGCCTGCTAGGCCAGCTTTAACTTTAGATTTGAAGCCAACAACGTTGGCTACTCCACTTTCAACGGGGACTATGCCCAATCGCCAACCAAATCCTAGTCTAACTTCGTTTGACCCGTTGAATAGACCTAGATCTCTGAGTCCTGATGATCCTTATGAACACATCTACGAAGAGTTAGGATCTATCCCTTCTTCACCAACTCAAGCTTCTCAAAAGCACGGCAAACTGTTAAGGATGTCCAAATCTTCCTTACATACTTCGTTTCCTAACCTTTCAGTAGCTACTACGCCTACTTCATCATCCACCAAAGACCTACCAAATGGTTCCACGAACGTCTTGACGAGCTCACAGTCTGTGTTTCCAAATGGACAGCCGAGACCACGGCCACTTCGCCAGGCCATGACCTTACCACCAGGACTCGGCAAGTCTCTCTTTGATGGAGCGACAAAACTGGAAATTCTGGAGATTCTTAAAGATGCCAAAGGGAGGCTGTCTAGTACTGCTGACGAGGACGATGATGAGGTGATTCTTGGTTTACATTTATGTAAATTGTCTCTTTGTTAATCGTTGAAAATTTTACGTTCCCTAAGTTTATTCTGTTGGTAAGATAGTTTTCGTTGGCCACATTTATACGCCGTACTGGCCAGTGCCCACTGACTTTGTGTGTAGGTTAGTCTTTTAATAATAATTTCGATTGTGGATTGGTTCAGTCTTTGAGTTAGTGTAGTCTGACATTTTTTTTGTGAACTTCGTTTGAGTGTCATTTGTACAGAAAATAATATTTGCCATTACCATTCAATGTAGATTATGAAATATCCTCATGATAAGATGAGTGGTTTGTAAATTAGTGTAATAAAGATTATGGGTTGTGAAGAAAATTGTCCTAGTAGTAGCCGTGTTGTATATTTTATAGAGTCCTCAAGAAGACATGGCTGACAACATGGACGCAGAGAACGAAAGAGTTCCAGGAAGCCGCGGTGGGACGCGGGAACGGGACGGGGAAGAGGAAAGTGACGAAATGTTCCATGGCCATCGCCATCACTCCATCAGGGCATCGAACATCAGCTCTAATTCTGACTCGTCTGAAAGCAGCGGCCTCGTGCGCACAGATAAGGTGGGTATGACGTGTCAGCACTACTGAGAATAGAGAAAATGTGGTATAATGCGTGAAAAATTGTGTCGTGTAGTAAGTAAATTGCAGCACTAGTAAATATACAATGATGACAATAGCGAAGCATATCAAGCAAGAAAGTATATAATTCATGCCACGCGCCCTGCAGGAGCGCGTGTTATCAGCTGAAGTTGAGCGGACGGACTCAGGAGTTGGATCGGAGACCTCAAAGAGCAGCAAACTTCTCAACACACACCGACCTCTTACAAGAGTCACCACCCTTGCCAAGCACCCGCAAGTGGGTGGCAGCGCTGGACTGCTCATTTCCACGTCGAGTGTTGGGGGCATGAAAGACCCAGACGTGCCGCTCTGTGCCGACTGTGAAGACGCCGTTGAAGCAAGAGTCACTAACAGGTACCAGATTACAGTATCATCAAAAAGTTAATTTGGTGTTGATGCTTCTCTGCAAATACTATTTCTTCGACCGCCGGTGTGATTACCTATTTCATCCATTTAATGATGTCATTTGACGACACGTAAATGATTTTGGATTCGAATTCATTTCAGATGTCCATCGGAACATTATTTAAAGAATACTCACACCGTGAACAGGATGTATTTTATTGATTTACATTACAGCGAATGGGAGAAGGTGTAATAAAGTTAGGTTTTGCAGAGCAGGGATATTTGCGTCTATATATATATATTTTTTTGGTCGGTGATTATAATATGTGTTTAATGTCGCCAACGTCTGTGAGGTGTGCTCCTGCAAGGCACACACTATACTTAATGTTAGTGAGGTGTGCTCCTGCAAGGCACACACTATACTTAGTGTCAGTGAGGTGTGCTCCTGCAAGGCACACACTATACTTAATGTTAGTGAGGTGTGCTTCTGCAAGGCACACACTATACTTAATGTCAGTGAGGTGTAAGAGGATTGTTGATGTTATCGTTGCGTGTGGCCAGCGGCGTGGTGTACGCGCCTCTCGTGTGCCTGCGCTGCTCTCGCCGTCGGCAGGAACGCCGGGAAATTTTGTCCGAGATCATCGAGACGGAGCTCAAGTATGGCAGAGATCTGAAGATCATCATGGATCAGTTCTACAGGTCAGGCGCCTTATGTGATTTCTGTAAAAGAATAAGATTATTTAGGTCGACAAGTTTCTATCGGTTATTTTTATATGTGGACTACTTGAATTTTTGTAATTCTGCCGTGCAATTTCATGTCCTATCAGATATTGACTAAAGCGTTTCAATTATCGGATTAATTTCTTTCAATTATGTGATTAATTGTGTACAATTTTGTACAAGCCACCCTTTTTTTGTCCACTTTGCCAATTTCCTCACTTGTATTCATTTGTGAACATTTCCATCAGGCCCATCCAAGTAGCGGGCCTCCTGTCGGACAACCAATTGAACAACATCTTCCTTAACGTCGGTCAGCTGTCGGCCGAGAGCCTGCGCTTCAGTGATCAATTACAAGACGCCTACGACATCGCCATAGAAAGCGGCGATGAAGATTTACTTACTGTCAATATTGCTAAAATTTTCTTAGAAGCCAATACCATGATGGACGCTTTTGAATACTACTGCGTGCGACACGTGAGTGTTGTGTAAAATTTTCACTGTAGTCGCTTCAGGTTTAAAACATGATTCTGATAGGACCAAGTTATGAAATTGATTTTTATTGTGCTTTTGTTTTTCGATTGTTTGTTTCTCGCTATTTTGTTTTTGAATTTGAGATTAACATTGAATATAAATGTACAGAGGAAATCGTGTTCTAGAAAACACTTTTTGGCACTTTAAATCCTCTGAAATGTCGCTGTTTCTCCGCAAATTATTATATTTCATCATGCATTTTTGTAAACCTCAGATAATTTTCGAACACAATTGTCTTCCATAGGGTGAGGCGTCGGTGTTGCTTCAGACGCTGGAGAAAGAAAAAGAACTTCTACGCGTGTTCCTGCGAGTGTCGCAGATAGAGAATACCTTACTCAGGAGAATGAATCTCCACTCCTTCCTCATGGTAACTTAATTTAAATTCTAGTTTGTCTTTCGCATGTAAGTGCTTCTACTTAGGCAAGTTTCCTTTTGTCTTCTGTTCGCTTCATCGATATCTTATACCTTGTTTCATCAAAACTCTACCTTTTTAATTAATTATTGTCATTTCCCTGGACTTTGGAAGTAATCTGAGTATTGTGCAGTTCATTTATTGACTTAAATATTTGTATAACCAATGTTTTTAGTAAGAAAAAGCTGCGTGTTATTCCCTTGACTTAAATCCATTATTCGTTCTGATATCCAATCATGAAGAACACGTTCATGCTTTCACGCCAACAGGATGATACCGGAAAATATTGAGAATTATACCCTTAATTGCGTCATTACCTATATTCTTTTAAATAAAATTTAACTTCATACTTTTAAATATACTTTAACGTTATACTTTTGAATACAGGTACTTTAACTTTATACTTCTACATATACTTCAACTATATACTTTCAAATATAGGTACTTTAACTTTATACTTCTACATATACTTTAACTTTATACTTCTACATATACTTTGACTATATACTTTTAAATATAGGTACTTTAACTTTATACTTCTCAATATACTTTTAGTATATATGTACTTTTAGTATATACTCTTACATATAGGTACTTTAACTTTATACTTCTCAACATACTTTTAGTATATACTCTTAGATATAGGTACTTTAACTTTATACATTTAAATATACTTTAAAAAATAGACAAATGAGCTGCTGGTTATGTATCAGGTGCCGGTACAGCGCGTGACGAAGTACCCGCTGCTGCTGAGTCGCCTACACAAGAGCACGCCGCCCGGCCAGCCCAGCCGCCGCGACTGTCGCGCCGCTAAGGAAGAACTCGAGCGCCGCCTGCACCACATGAACAACGTGCGATATTGTATTATACGCACCAATTCAATGTCTTTATCAATGTCAATTTATTGAAGCCTTAATACCGTTCTCGTTACTTGTTTATACGCATTTATACGCATCGCTTCAAGGTCTTCATCAATATCAATTTATTGAAGCCTTAATACCGTTCTCGTTACTTGTTTATACGCATTTATACGCATCGCTTCAAGGTCTTCATCAATATCACTTTATTGAAGCCTTTAATACCGTTCTCGTTACTTGTTCTATACGCATCGCTTCAATGTCTTCATCAATATCAATTTATTGAAGCCTTAGTACTATTCTCGTTACTCGTTAATCATCTTTAAATTTTCATTTTATTTAATTGAAATAATATTAATATCATTGGCATAATTTGAGTATCATTTTAATTCCTTTTATGTACAATCATATTTTTCCTTGAATCCTCTTGAAATCCTTACAATTTCTCTCGAAGCTTGTACATATCACGTGATTTATTTCGCGGGAGTTTCAAGCACGTGAGGTAGGATTTAATTATGTATCAGTTGTTTCCTACATTCCATTCATTTAATTACATCGTTGAATTCAAGTTGAGATGTGTTGATTTTCTTGGAAATATCACCTGAACTTGGTGCCGTATCCAAATGTGAACCTATTTGTAGTTGATGGAGAAATATTCTTAGTGGGTTTAGTAATGTGGCGGGAAATGCTATTCTGCAAACATATTATTTCGATATAATTGATCATTTGTCCTTAATTAATATTAATTTATAATCTAATATTATAATATTATTAATAAAAATATTAATATTATTATAATAATATTAATTTGTGAACACTTTTGATTCTGTCATGGTGGAATTGCAACGATACTGACTAAGGATTGTATATTGAGCAGGAGACGAAGGAAGCTTCTTCGTACAAGCTGTGGCGAAGGATATCGATGAGTGTGGGCAACAGCACGCCCCTGAGGGTGCCTCGCCTCCCCTCAGCCACCCCTCACTCTGACGACATTGATAAGCTGCATAAGGTATCGTCCATTACCCTTACTAAGTCCATTAGGTCTGGCCTAAAATTCCCGGTAGAACTTTACAAGTTTTTTTTACTCTTGTATTCATTGATACAAAGTTACTCATTGCGTGCAGTTGGCTCCCTATGTGGCAGTTGGCTCCCCTGTATTTTCATATGATTTAACATAGATCTACTTTGAATTTGTTTTAGTCTTTCATGTTAGTTAAAATATAAAGAGCGGCACGTGTTGAGTAGCCGCGACATGAAGCTAGATGAGTTTGGTAGTCGCTGTAGTGGTAAAAATAAAGTAGCAGACTAGCTGGGCAGACTTGCTGTCGACTAGCTGGGCAGACTAGCTGACTGTCGACTAGCTGGGCAGACTAGCTGACTGTCGACTAGCTGGACAGACTAGCTGACTGTTGACTAGATGGGCACACTAGCTGACTGTCGACTAGCTGGGCAGACTAGCTGACTGTTGACTAGATGGGCACACTAGCTGACTGTCGACTAGCTGGGCAGACTAGCTGACTGTTGACTAGATAGGCACACTAGCTGACTGTCGACTAGCTGAGCAGACTAGCTGACTGTCGCCTAGATGACTGACGTATTTTGTTCTGCTGCTACAGTTGGTGGTGGAGACGCTGGAGTGGGGGGCGGTGGGGGGCCAGGTGGTGAGAGGGGGGCGTCTGCTGCTGCTCACGCAGGAGACCAACAACTGGACGAGGCGAGGACGAGCTCCCAAGATGGTGCCTGTGTACGTCGTCCTCGTCACCAGGGGCAAGGCAAGTCTTGTTCATAGTTACTGTGTCGTCTTTACAGCATAGTAACTAGGAATATTAATTAAGTAGAAAGCCTTTTTTCTACTTAATATTCCTAGTAAAGTTTTTGCTTTGTGTGGATCAGGTCGTCTATACCTGTAATGTGACACTGATTGATGTGATGATGAGGAAGGAAGAACTTTCCGTGATGGTATTTGTGATGTCCTTGGCAGGCGCAGAAGAGCGTGGAGGACAGCGCGTATGAGGACCGCCTGCTGACGCCTCAGGACCTGGGCGTTGAGGAGACCGCGCTCGTGGCTCTCAAGTATCCCGCCAAGCCCTCAAAACAGTCCTTCTACAAGGTGCCCACCTCCTCGCTATAGCTTCATCATGGGTCTTGCGGACACACTTTGATGTCTTAGGAGATTTTGATCAATTCCTGGAGCTTCGTATTGGGTCAAACGTTTTCTAAACATGTGATGCTATACGTAGAAGATGAAAATTACGTTAGTTCAGAACATGAGCATTTCCGCTCATGATGATTCTGATGATCTTTAGATTTAATGTCCATAACTTACTTATTTCTTATATGGCATACTTATTACTTACATGATAGGTATACTTATTACTTATATAGCATAATTATTGCTCAAATCATGCTTATTACCTTTAATATCTTTAAAAAATTGAACCACTCCTATTGATCACTTTTTGATCAGTGTTCAGTTCCCGTTTATTGTCTTTTAAAACACACCTAGTTAATGTTTATTGCTCGTTATTCCGCAACTGATACCGATTGATCATTCCTTTCTGGCTCAGGAGCCGTGGCTGTTGAGTCGCTGCGTCGTGTCCTGGGAGGCGGAGTCCGACACGGACTGTTTCGAAGTGACGGACCTCCTCACCAAAGAGTCCTTCTATTTCAAGGTAAGGCAGGACCTCCTCACCAAAGAGTCCTTCTATTTCAAGGTAAGGCAGGACCTCGTCACCAAAGAGTCCTTCTATTTCAAGGTAAGGCAGGACCTCGTCACCAAAGAGTCCTTCTATTTCAAGGTAAGGCAGGACCTCGTCACCAAAGAGTCCTTCTATTTCAAGGTAAGGCAGGACCTCGTCACCAAAGAGTCCTTCTATTTCAAGGTAAGGCAGTAAAGGCACATCAACTTCTTCTCTATAATGTGATTCGGCACAATAATCCGTTCCCACAGTTTAGTATTGTTACGTGGTTTGATAACGTTAGGAAGTGAATAAAGTTAGGTGTAATATTCAAATGAGATTTTCACGTCATGCAACAATCATCCCAGCCATGACAATTCGAAGTATAATTTTCTGTCTGGAATTTAAGATTGATTATCCTATTGTTATATTATAATTGCTTCTCTGTTTTTATGGCAAAAAAGTTACTTGAATAAAATTTTCCTCCAGGATCGAGACAGTTCTGGGACGGAAGACTGGTTCCGGTTAATCCAGTTCCACGCTGTGTCTGTAGGGCCTTGGAAAAGAAGAAGGAACGCCCTTCACAACCTCATGATCAGCGGCAGCAATTGATTTGAAGTTCATATGATATCATGGTGGAAACACTAATGCTGCTGCGACTTTCTTTTTCATTTAATAGAAAAATTGTAGCAACTCTTCGCGTGTATTAATTCTTGAATCGTCGAAATTCAATCATCGAAATTCTGATCAAAATGAAAGTAATTATGGGGCAATAAAGCCATGTATAATTAATTATCCCTTTGTATGAGGTTTGACCTAATTCTTGTAGGGCTCCTACACTCATTCGTTAATGGGTAATACGGTACGTTAAACAGAAAAATCCACGCTTATGAAATCAGAATTTTTAAGGCATCTGGTAATTCGAATTGAAGTTGATTAATTTATTATTATTTTTTTGTTGCTGTAGTGCACGTCACATCTCGACCTACAAAAATTTGTGTCCACGTTGCTGTTGAACTCAGACATACATTCGTTAATGAAGCCTTGCGCCCAAGCAGAGTATCAGTCAGAGCGCTTTAAACTCGGTATAGCAGAAAAAAAACTAAATGATTTTATTTATTTAAAGGGAGTCGAACGTCTTGTAGTATTCTGTATGAGTATTTTGGCAGTAGTCCTGCAACTCATCTCAAGCTCGTGACTTTTACTCTCGTTTTCCCTCTGTAATTTTAAAAATGTATTTCACGTTTCCATCATAATTTAATTTTGGTTCGAAATTAGCTGGGTCTATCAAGCAAAATGGAAATGCAGCAATAGGAAACTAACTAGGGCGTAGGAAATGCATGCAGCAATACAAACTGGAAGTATAGGACTGCATCACTATGATGAACATCGCTGTCGCCAAGATGGACGTCAGTTTTTAATTTTCCTTGACTTGGGCCTGCAATGTGGCTGCTAGGAGATGCGAGCTCCCTCGAGTGCATATTACAAATAGAACTAACCCCATGAACACATTATAGGTTCCGTACGCAAATTCTGCTACAGTCTACCTTCTTGAATTTGAAAATTCGTTATCAAAACTGATTGCTTCTTGTTACTCGTCTGTTTGCAAATCTATCATTGTGGAATGTCAATTACGAACTTCCACATTATTCCAGTTGATGTTGTATGCATTGTCGTTATGTATGTATTTTTATGTCTGCAAATGGATTTTGGTCAGAAATCTGTTCGAAGGCGTGTTTTTGTATTTATGCATCATAATTAGTCATTTGGAAATAGTTCTTTATGCGTGCTTTTCTAACTATTGAACACACTAATGTAATTATAAGAAACTAGATGATGTGATATAGTCATATCAAGCGTAGTGCTTAGATCATCATGTCAATGATTATAATAAATATTCCTACGAGCTGAATTCTATAACTTGATTTAATGCCTATACTCCTGATAACCCACGGCTTCTGCGTGAGAAAGATTTATTTAGGCATTGCACCTTTCGGACAACACATGAATATATAATTCATCATCATGAGGCAAGATTCTAGAATCAGTTATTGTAGTCCAATTGCACTCGTAAAATTATTGGGTGAAAGCAGAGATTCCATGATCGTCACCAGACTCCATCCTCAAGAGACTTGGTTTATCAGTGACACAAACATTAAAATATACTCCGGGTTGACAAAGGGACGAGTTCTAATGTGCCAACCGAATACTTTTTTTTTACTTTTTAGCGCTTGTTCCAACCGTTAGAAATGCAAGTACAAGGGCTTTGACTACACATAAAACCAGCCATTAAACATTTAATGGTACATAACATTGGTTTTGGAGGATGGAGAAAATTACAGAACGGCTAAGACAATTAATTATTCGTAGCTAACAAATTATAGGTGTAAATCTGTAATCACCTACAGTAGACTGGCAGGTGATCAAATATGTTTTAGGGTCTCAAAGTAACAACAATTTCTTTGATCAGGCGCGAAAGCGGTGAAGTGAATTCGAGCAAAAATAATAATAATAATAATACCTCCCAAAAATGCGCATCTTTCCATCAATCAATTTCGACAACCAAACTTTCCATCGTTTCCAGTGTCAAATGGGTTCCTACACGGTCAATCACGCTTGAGTCAATCGATTAACTTAAGCTTTTGATCAAGCCGCATAATCGTTTAGACTTAAGGGGCCCCTTATGTTATCGATGTCTGCGTCGGGAGCTCGTTGGATTTGACTGTACTTATACTGGCTAATATATGCATACTCATAGTTTTTAAAATGTACCAGAAGGATTACTAGAATATGCAACAAGAACTAACTTCAGAGGCCACTTCTATAAGCTAAAAAAAACTGCGGTGCAACTCATCTATGGGACTACACTTGGAGGTCGATTCACTGACACTGGAACAGCTTCCCGGATGACATCTTTGGCCCTCCGGGTGTGAACACGTTCAAGAACAGACTAGATAAAGTTATGGAGAAATGCATACGTATTGAGACTTTTAGTTTCAATCTGTTAGGTTCGGTCGAAGCTTTGAGATTTCGTTGTTGATGAATCTATTGGCCAACCCAGTATTGCATTATTGACAAAAATTTGTTTGCAATCTTTCAGCTCAGTATTTAAGTCACTTTCAGATGAGCAGATCTTGAGAGCTCTTTAGAAGAGGGAGCCCATTGTGCGCTTTTTGTACCGCTGAACAGCGGTACTGAACTGAACAGCGTTCAGTAATCTTCCGGCTTTTTTTTGGATTTTCGATATACTTAAGTGGATGAACGAATTACTTCTAACTAAGGAAAAAGTACGATAATGTCCGAGTTCGTCGGTAAACTTCAAGACAGAATTCACAACGAAGACCATACGCAGTTTTTTAGGTGTCATTCGCCTCGATAAACGGCGAGCATAGAGTCGGCATACCCATGGTCGGCATACCTGCTTTACAATTCGGGTTCGGGTTACAATTACAAAAAGTTCGACGTGGGCCCGCTCCTCACTCGCGTCACAGCTCAGTGACTCTCGGAGTCGGGGGACGACTGAAAAAAACCAGCATTGCCCATTCGGTTAAAGAAGGACCAGTTTTCGGGTCATTCACCGAAATTTTGTTAGCTAAAAAAGTCATATTTATATACACAATCTACCTCTTAATTTTACTAGTAAAATCTGAATGACTGTGCAATGAAGAGCATATAAATTAATGAAACGACATTTTTGCGTGCGTTTGCATTAAACCTTCTTCTATTAAGTTATTCGGTGAAAAATTACTATTGCTCCAAGTGAACAAAGCTCACGTTAATGCAGCCCTAGCACATCTGCCAGCCTTGTTTACAAACTAAAGGCAGAAGCTGGCTTTACCTTCAAAGCCCAATTATTAAAAATTATAAAGAAACTGATAGAGGTACTTATTAGAGATTATTAGACGAGATTTTTAATGATTACCTTAATACTTATTACAATTTAACAATTCACTTTAATTATTTTCTCAATTATTGTATAAATAAGTTGAACTCTGTAGCCACAATTGTTAGGTTGAAGCATCTCCATTCAAATCATTTTCCTGCACAGAACTTTTCATATGGGCAGCAACCCTGGACCAAGGTTAATTAAAAGAAAACCTTCATGCGTCGTTAAGTGATGGGATAGGGACGAAAGCCAAACGAGCAACCATTCATCAGGCGCATTGAATGCATGTAGTTTGCTCACTTCATTCAGCTAACTGAATGAAGCTAACATAAGCCAACTGCGGATTTCAGCTAACTTTTCAGGACATCGCAGAGACTCAAGAAGGTATAAACTATTGCCTTTGAATTCAATTAAATTTGCGTCTTCTTACATTTTTACACAATTGTAATATATATATATTTTGTCCATGTCCGTGAGAATTCTGGAATATATTCCAGAAATTCCCAAAATGGACGGAGTTGTGCTGATTAGAAGGGAGCGCAGCCGTTGGTAACAAAATTGACTCGTAAACAGGCCATGGGCCCAACGCCATCCATCAGAATGCAATATCTACACATAGCCTCAGATCAATGACCTGTGTGTAAGTGACTCATATCACGACACCAACTTTAAAAAAACACAGCCACTGCTTCACAGTGCCGGAGCACAACTGGCCGTAGCGCAACAGGCCCTACCTACAACGCCTTACGTTAGGTTTGCTTAGGTTAGGAGTAGGGCCGGGGTAAGGCGTTGTAGGTAGGGCCTGCTGCGTCCGGCCCTGATCCGGCGCTGTGAAACAGGGCCTGTGAATGAACGGCACTGTTGTGGTGGGCGCTCTGTGTCGAAAGCCGTAAAGATGACCGGCTGCGTTACGCTCGGGAAGGTATATGAATCGCACAGTGGACTTGGGCTATGCTGACCTCTAGCTCTCCACCCGATTAGAACCTTGAACATGGATCGAGGCTGTTCCACATGTCGGTGACTCGAAGCGAGAAGAAATGTTGTCGCATTGATGTTTTGCAATGCATTTTTTTTAGTTTATAGCCGTGGCCCCTGGTGTTGGTTCTTGTTTCAAATTCTAGTAATCCTTCTGGGGCCTTGTATAAATCGTAGGTATACTTGCATACTTCAACGAGGTCACCATGCAGACGTCAAAAACAGAGGCTTGGAATCTTCATAATCTTTAACCTTTCTTCATAAGGCTTGCCTTTTAATTCCGGAATTATCCTTGGTACAGGTATTTGAACACTCTCGACTAAATTTTTGTCCTTTTCTAGCTAAAGAAAATAGACTCAAGAGTTTTGCTGATATATAGAAACAAAGCTTCTAAGCCAATGCCTCATATTTTGTATGATTGATCTTAATTTATGGACATTAAAAACATATAATTGGTTTGTTATATATTCAGTGAAACATTTCACTGTATACTGTATAGCAATGATACCCAGGGGCCAGGGCTAAGAGCCTAAGAATACTAGTGTATATACATATATCTACTTACTACCTGCCAGAATAACACCTTGAAAAGTTTTCTCGTTATAAAAAGCAATAAATGGTGTAGACTACACACACACAAATTTCAAAAATCTTCGTTGATATTTTTCATCTAAATTACTGATATTGATTATCCTAAAAAGCTGGGCATCAAGGAAAAACAAGAAATTCTGTTTCACAATAATAGCACGCTGCAATCTAAACCAATAGAGGTTGAAAAATACTAATGAATTTCGAGATATGCAGACTGAAACCTGCAAATATTCATTACGCAGACAAGAATGAAATACTGTAGCTTAAAGACATAAACACACGAACAAACAAGTCTACATGTACCTTAATTCTAGACGGTCTAAGCTCCCGTATCACACAACCGGTCACAGGCTCACAGCATCATTTCAAAATATAAATACGATTCTAAGACGTAATAGCCGAGCGCAACTGGGCCAATGGTTCTTAAAAAAATGGCGGAGCAATGAATACGTAAATCTTGGCCTCCTACCGCCTGATTTATGAAAGCTTAAAAATGTTCATTGCTTTTGCGTTACTTTTTTGGGTCAAATTTTTGGTTACTATCAAGATGCGGAAGTTTGACACGGCAAATTCTGTTAATTCAAAACATACCTTGGCCTTATGTGCAGCGCAGCTTTCAATTTGCGTTGCATTCATTATGCAGCTTTTGACTATCTTACTTAGGGCACCAGGACAGAAGGAAAGCAGGGATCTTGCATCGTTGCCGACTCGACCGGTATGAACGGTTTTGATAGATCTTCTAACACAAGGTAGGTAATAACCGGTATGAATGCGATAGATCTGTTGAGAACATTTTTTCACGAGCTAAACATTGCCTTTAGGTCATAATGAATACGTGTACCAAGTTTCCTCGAGCTACGTTCATTGCTTTGGGAGATATTTCTTGGTCATTGAATTTGGTGATTGGCCGTTAGGCCGGCTGCAAGATCGGCCGCGCGTCCGGCCGTAATTTTGTCCCAGACGTTGCAGGAAGTTAGAAAGGCGGTCCAAGTCCAAGTGTGCTAGTGAAGCCAGTCATTGGCTGCAAGAAGGTTGTTAGTCGGGACAGCGTGAATAGGTTAGGCCAGAGTAGGTAGCGCCGGTAAGTGTAATGTTGTGGTATTTTCTGGTATGAAATTTACGTAAAATATAGTACCAGATTTCTGGTAACATGTCGGATTTGGCATTGACCCCCAAAAACCCCGACAGGTCAATTTTACATCTAAGATAATGATTTACAAAGATAAAAAACACGTAAAGGGTTATTTTACATGTAGAATTCAAACCGAGCTTGATTTATTAACACGTTACAATCCTTCGAGCGTTGTCAGAATTGTGTTTTCACGTAGGGCCCGAAACGGCAAGTGTTGGTCCACATTGCGCGCCTAACCAACCAAGCGTTTATGGCACTCCGGGAAAACCAAGCGCATCAAAAAAAAATCTTGATGACGCTTGCAGGAGCGTAATGTCAATAAATAGCATCGTTGTTGATTAGGTCAAGGTCGAATTCGATTTGACGAAATTATGCGTGGAATGTCACCAATTTGTCAGCACTTTACATCACTTTGTCGTCACGCGTCAGCTTGTCACTATTTGTCACCACTTTGTCACAAGATTGTCACCACTTTGTCGCCACTATGTCAACACCTTGTCGACACTTTTTCACCACTTAATATCCACTCAATCACCACTTTATCACCAGGTTTTACAAGTTTTCTCATTTTGCAACCGGTTTTTCCATTTTGTCACCCGTTTCTCACCAGTTTATCACAAGCTTTTCATCACAGTTGTCACTAGTTCGTCACAAGTTTTTCATCATTTTGTCACCTTTTTCACGTTTGCCATAGGTTTGTCACCATTTTGTCACAGGTTTGCCACCATTTCGTCGCCACTTTCTCAGAACTTTGTCATAATAATAATAATGATAATAATAGCGGTTTCAGCGTTTATTAGGCCATAGGCCTGTCGCCGATTCTTAACATCGCAGGACATTCACAGCATTTTGCGGTCTCGAACTCTCAACTCACTGCTCCAATTCTGCTGTGCTTAACCGCCCGGCCTCCTCGCCGATTCTGACCAGAAACTGGCGCACAGAGCTGGGATCGAACCCGCGCCTCTCTGCGCCAAGATCTTGGTACACTGAACTTTATCCACTGGGCCACCCTGCCCATCCACTGGGCCACCCTGCTTGTCATCAGCTTGTCACCAGCTTGTTACCAGTTTGTCACCATTTAGTAACCAATTTGTTACTAGCTTTTCTCCATTTCGACACTCTAATACCTCTCCTGCCTTCCTTCATTGCCTCCATCTTGCCAACTGATCCGAGGCAGACCCTGAGGAACTACCTCGGCCACAGGAACTCCGGCTCGTGCTGGACAGACCTTCCCCTTCTGGTTGAGCCCATCACTCTTTCGCTCCTGATGGACCGAGACGATGAAATAATTATATTTTCATGCTAAATTAAAAACCGAGCTATGTTGGATTTGAACAACTTTTAAAAGTTTGCTTAATGTTTGTGAACTTCTTCAATGTTTCGTAATACGTACATGCCGATATTGGGTGTTTCACTTAGCTTTAATCACACCGTTTATTGACCTGCCGCAGGTGTGATGCGACGATGATGGTACCATTAATGTCGACTATGAGTATGGCTGTCGTTAGGATAATATGCCGTATGCCGGAATTTTGTATCTCTGTAGCAATGACGATGAGCAGCACCAACGAAGCGATGGTAATGGCGACCAGCCAAGCCAGGAATATCCAAATCAGGCAGCGAACATTCTAACAAAAATACATCAGAATAGCTTGGTAACAAATTTACATTTGATATAGTGTTCAAATTTCCAAGTGTATAAACAAAGCAAACACGTCATTTTAAGACTTATTTTATTTGACTTCAAGTCCTAATAGGTAAAGCTCTATATGACTTGTGATTTAAAGCTTCCATCATTAAATAAATGGACAAAAAAAGCTTCTCTCAACAACTATTCACGATAAAAGTGGGATCACTTGCTCACGTAACATCCCGTAGTTGCGAATAAGCGCGTATCTTATAACTGAATTGAGAATCGGTTAGACTTAAAAGGATTAATTAATTACTTAAAAGGTTTAATAAATTAGAATTATTTAAGTTTAAAGTTTGAATAAATTATTAACTATAAACTACAAAAAGCAGCTGCCCAATCTGCCTTTAAAGAACTCGTGAGAGAAAACTCATTTCAGAACATTCTCCATTTTGAGGCAAAATCTAGCGAAACGATCGGATTTATAGTAATTTTGAACCTAAAGATTGAATTGAGATTTCAATTATAGTGCCGTGTGCCCCATAGAAGTCGAGTAAGATTTCAAGCAGTAATTATAACTATGTGCCCACAAAATTCTATTAATAAACTAAGTTTATGGATCAAATAAATCAAGAAACTTTACTTGAATGACGGCGAAAATGTCGATGCATGAAAGGAAGATCTGCACACTCGCAATCACCACGAGAACGACATAGTAATCGTACACTGCAAACAAAGAAAATTCTGAAGACATTGTACGCAACAAACAAAGAGAAAGACATAGAAATTGTACACTGCAAATAAAGAAAACCCTAGAAATTGTACACCACAAACATAGTATAGAAACTTGACAAAGCAAACAAAGAATGCCCCGTAGAAATTGTACACTGCAAACGAAATTACTGTATAAATTTGCATTGCAAACAGAAATAGAACTGTAAAAATATGCATTGCAAACAAAGAAATAACTGTAGAAATTCGTCTATAATTAATGGATGCCATGTCTCAACAATGGATGTCATGTACGGTAGGGTAACATGGTGCAACGGGATCACGCGGGTCACGGGCCCATAGCGGGTTTCCGCTTATGTCATATATTGGTCCGTGCGCTCTACCGCCGGTCGTCAGTTTCACTGGGCTGAAGTGCTTTGCTCTACGTTTTGCTAAGAGTTTGCGATGGTAAGTTACTTGCGAATAAGTGTTTTGGCTCATATAAAAGTTTTTTTGCTGCTAAATAAAACTGTTTTACTCTATATGAAGCTAATGAAAGTACAGTGAATTATATTTTGAAAGTTACTTATAGGGGTAATTTTTAGTTCAAGTTTCAGACTAAAAGCTTCTAAAATAAAATGCTGACATGATATAAATTGAAATGATACCTAGTGGGGCAACGGGCCCATGTGTGTCACGTCACTGTCACGGGACAAAGCGCCCATGTGGGCTCAATATCTCTCTGTGAAGTCTTGTGTTATTACTTATACAGTTATACATCATTAGGTTTGTCTCAATGAGCTCTTCAAAACCATGGCATATAGCTTTTAATTACAAATTACACCTCATATTGTATGATTTGTTTTTTGATTTGCCGCCGCAAGGCAGCGGGTTCTAGTTTCTAGTTATGCGTATTTATGACCCCTTATCGAGTTCTTTACTCTTTTGCCTAGCCAAAAATTGATTTCAGCAAATATACCAATGAGCCAAAATTAAGTTGAAGAGTTTTTATGGTGTTGGCTGAAATCACGATTAAGTATATATACGAATTCCCTAACATAATATCTGGATTATGGACGAAACTCGAACGAAGTTTTTATTGGTCAAGTAAATATATTTTTTCTAGTCAAGGATACATTTTTTCATGTCAAGGATTAATTTTTTATGGCAAGGATATATTTTTCAAGTCAGGGATATATATTTTTATGTAAAGGAAATATTTCTTTCGCGTCAGTGATAGACTTTTCAAGCCAAGAATATATTTTTTTCAAGTTGAGGATATGATTTTTTAAGTTGTTAATAAATAAATGAATGTAATATTTTTAATTAAATGTTTTCTTATTTTAAACTGTAAAGTGTTGTTCTATTATCTTTAAAACAAAGAATATGCAATTGTGGTAAAGGAACCAGGGGTTGGGCGCTTTGCCCCAAGCCCATGGGCACATTGCCCCATGCAGGGGTGGGGCAGGCAATGGGCCAATTTTGACACTTTTTAGAAAATATTGTTTCATTAAAAATTGAATAACTCTATAGGCGTGTAATTCACATACTACATTCCTCATTAGTTGTAACTTTAGAAAAACAAATAACTACCTCGTATCAATTAAAACTTCTTCAAAAATTTAGTTTAAAAAAGGGGTGGACCCGTTGCCCCATGCTACCTTATATCGACATGAATGCCATGTATCAACATGGCCACAACGGAGCTAGTATTCAAAACGAAGCTGAAGTGTTAAATGAATCTCGGCAGAAATTGAATACTTAAAAATTTATGAATTGTGATAAAACTTGAATACAAGAGAAAAGATGAATTCAAATTTATTCAGCATAAATTGGCATTGGATTTCACTTATAAATCGAATCAAACTGAATTAGCTAATGACTAACATTAATATAAGGATATAATAGCGGTTTCAGCGTTCATTAGGCCGTAATAGGCCTGTCACCGATTCTTAACATCACAGAACATTCACAGCATTTTGCGGTCTCGAACTCACAACTCATTGCTCCAATTCTGCTGTGCTTAACCGCCCGGCCTCCTCGCTGATTCTGACCAGAAACTGGCGCACAGAGCTGGGATCGAACCCGCGCCTCTCTGCGCCAATCTTGGTACTCTGAACTTTATTCACTGGGCTTAAACCGACTAACACTGAAGCGCAACCTAGAACCTACAATCAATTAAATATTTTTGTTAGTGTCCTGCAATGCAGTTTAATTACTTACTTTTTTCCATAACTTCTAAAATATAAATGAACAATTTAATTTCAGCTTCAGTAAGTTCATTTATTTTTATCTGAAGTTTCAGTTCGTAGATTGTCGTCATCCAAATAATTGAAGAAATCAAGACGATCACACAAACAACCTGAAAAATGAGTAATAATTATCCAACTACTATTATTTAATTATTAATTACTATTCAAAGCAGTTAATATTTTATATGGCTTTTTCTCTCTCCTAATTACGTGAATCGATCTACGTAACTGAATGCCCATGATAGATGTTTAACTCAATATCAAGCAAGAATCTCAAATAGGCTTTTGAAATTAATTAACAATAAATAAATTCTCATGAGGTATGTCTACAATTCATCAAAATCCAGTTTAAAATCAGTAGGAACTCTGCTAAGCGGTATTTTGTTATATTATGAATAAGATTTATTTATAGGTACTTATTATAAAATAAGAAATACCGACCGCTGATAAGCAGGCTATCGCGATGTTGCATTTTCGTAACATGGATGCCCCGCACTTCAGCATGTTGCCTTTTTCTCGAGGAGAATTGCTATGATAATTTTATTTGAATAGCAATTAAATTAACAATAATAATTGGCTTGTTGAGGTTCAATTCAATCTAAATTGTCCATGTATTACTCGGTAAATCATGAAATCGATTACAATATTTGAGATTGATAATTAAATTTCTTATCGATATAATTATACTTTTCATTGGATTGGAAACGGGATATCTCGAATAATTACTTGATTGATTGCATAATTAATGTTTATATTTTTATGTGTTCATCTGCTCCCACAAGGCAAGTTATTAATAAATTTGCTCCTCACTCAATGCAGTTCCTTCGCGAACTGACCGTAGTCTTGCATATTTGCACTGCGGCACTAAGACTGTAGACGAGATAGTTGCCCTTAGAAACGAGGCAACAAACTATGCATTTTCTCTGTGTAACATTTGTTGCCGTTGAAGTGAAAAGATCTCACTGTTGAAATTTATTGCCCTTGATGCGAATGTTTTCTCTGTTGAAATTTATTATATACATTTGAAGTGAATGTTCTTAGTTAGCAAGGGTTTTTAATTCACTATGCAGTGATACAAAGGAACACCTTACAAAAAATAGCCAAATCTGAAAAAAACTGAAACTGACAAGAAACTAAAATAACTTTCTCAATAGAAAAAAATGCCGTGAGGCTCGAAGTGACATAGATAATTTTCTTACTAGAACTTATGCAGTCATGGATAAAACTAAACTCAAAAGTGGAACTGATTTATTAGTATTATTATTAAATTAAAATTATCATTATGCACCGCTGATAAGTTTCTTACTAATGACCATCTCAACCACAGCTCCGTACTCAATACTGTCGTATCATATGTCATTTTTGAGACATATAAAATGAAGCGATTTCTGCAAAAAATTTGCTTTCACGTCAAAACACATTGAGACATAACAAATACAAATTTTGAAATAGTGGCCCTATTATAGGCCTGATATGGTTTTCAATTTTCAAGACCCGATGTAAAATTTTAACTCCATGCGCTTGATAAGAGATTATAACTCGATAAATGAAACTTACTCCTCGCCATTATTGAGGTAAGAGTACTGAGGTCTCTGTACACTGATGTTGACACAACAGAATTGATAGTTCACACAATCCAATTCTAATAGCTGATCGTAAAAAAGCACTTACTGTATATCTTATAATTTTAACTCGTTCTTAAACGTCGAAAAATTTACCCCGTGAAATATTTACTCTCTTTTTTTACAGACAATGGACAGGCAAGTATTCTAATTTAGACATAAAGATAAATGACGAAAGCATTTGGTGAATAGGGCAACATCCTTATTGTTATATATAAAATTGGGAATAAGATGATGTTTATAATGTGTATCCACCACACGGTCAAATTGCATGACATAAGCTGTAGTCATGGCGTGAGCAAAAACGATGATAGCCATTGTTGCTTCAGTTTTGATACATAGCATGTTGGTGTCTAGGATTTATTGTGTATTTTTTACTTTAAAAGTCCATTATATATAGTCCATCATAAGTTTTCGTCGACATCTTGGTGGCGATGTAGAACAATTTTCTTGAGGTAGCTACACCCTAAGATGACGGTTAGAAATCAATCACAAGGCCAGAATAAAATTACGAAGAATTAAGTTTTTTACGAATGCTAATGCAAGTTTCAGTCCATTAATATAATATCTTAGATGTGCCAATGCATGAAACAGGAGTGTCGAGTTTGCTTTCTTCATAGGATCATTCAATTATTCTTATAGATTTCCCAATAAAGCATGTAATATGATTATTAGGAATATAAACAAACTGAAAAAAAATTCTAAAAAACTTTGCGCAAGCAAAAGTGTATAACATAACATAACATAGTGATGTCGGCTCTGAAGTGTAGGCCTGATGTGGCCTGTCGCCGATTCTTAACATCGCAGGACATTCACAGCTTGTTGCGGCTCGTGTCATTTGACCGGATCTTTTCATGACTGGCGATAGTTTGAAGAAGCTACTAGACTTCCACCGGGTTCGATAAGGAGCTAGGCATTTCAAATCTGAACATATATTTTTCCATAGCTTTATCTAGTCTGTTCTTGAACGCGTTCATACTTGGAGCTCNTTTAGCTTGATTTCGAGCTCTGGCATACAGGTTATAATCAGACTCACTGCGAGTTCGTAAATAACGCTTGTAGGCTTCTTTCTTGGTCTTTAGCTGAGTCTTAACTGCACTGGTCATCCACTGGGACTTT